GTCACTTTCAAATTATAAATGCACAATTTTTATTTATGCGAAACAAAAACTCATAATATGTTAGATAATATAGAAAAGAGCCCATTACAATTAATGTCTTTAATACATTTGTAAAATATCAAACGTTAAATTAATAATACAGTATTGAATTTAAATGTATTTTAATTTAAGATAAAAATCTTTTTTTAAAAAACAATAAAACAATTTATATTGAACCATGAACGACTAACATCAAATAGGTGGCAATTCTTTATGTTCTCTCATTAAAAACATCCGTGATTATCCCCACAGTTTGTGAAGACAAAACAGGAGTTTTATTAGAAGTTTCTGACGCAATATAGGAATAAGAATCCACGCTGTTGAAACTCTGTAGATGTGTTGACAATGTTTGCATTGTAACAAGTAGAACATATGTCATTTTCTTTAATATAATTGGATCTTGTTTTTTTGCTTTCTGAGACAGAACTAGTTTGGTAACGGTTCAATTTTCTTTTTTACACCCTTTTTGAAAATCGCTACTAACATTTAAATAGATAAAATTTGACGATCTGCTACTTCATAAATAAATTATCCGGGAAGGGCTGTAATTTTTGCGATTTAATGTGATTAAAAATTTTCCAAAACATGTAATTTCGTACCTTCCCGACAAACGTGCTCGTAATTTACATTAATGTATTGTCTCGTACCGAACTACTTTACTATATACCCTAATACGTATTTTTGTAACCAATCAGAGATATACGTGCGTACTAGTTTTGTAATATTTATATTAGTGTTAGTTACCAGTTCTTAAATTATGTGCTGTAAAATAATTATCAGGTGTTCCAGGAGTTATGATAATAGTAATAATTGAAACTTGATTGGATAGTTCACAAACGGATGTATTTTCCGATTTTAACATATGGGCTGATCTTTTGAATTTCACATTTGATTTACCAGTCCGTTTTACTACCAAACGAACTGGTAGATTAACAAAACTCATCAATGATCAATTACGCAACCGGATTTAAGGGTAGAGTGTATGTAAATCATTTTTGTATAGTTTTTTGTCTCTTTAAAAATTTCATCTAAATTGATATATGTTACTAATAAAACTTTTTATTTTTTAATTAATCAAGAAAATTTTTTTATAATATTATAAATAAAATTATTTATCTATTATAGTAAAATTTTTGACTATTATATTATTTTAAAAAAATATACTTGTATATATGATAAAGTTTTCCTAAGTTAAAATTTTTCTTAGGTAGTACAAAATTAAAGAATTTGATTAGTTAATTTATGTAAACCTATAAGTTAATTTACATAAACCTTTAAGTTAATTTTATTATATAATTTTATATCCTAATGTTTAAAATTTTATATCTTAATGAGTTTTTAACAAATTTAATAATTTTGTTATCATTAGAATCAGTAAGACCTACTCTACAATTTTTACTTAATAATTCAAATTAATTTACTTAATATAATTTTTTATAAAATTAAATATAAAAAAAATAATTATTAAGTTTATATATAATTTTAAAATTAGTATACTTTACCCTTAAAAAATAACAAAATTCATCAAGAACGTAACATTGCGTACCACGCTTTATCTATACTAAGAGGGAAAAAATAAAGTCATTTTCAAATAATATTATTAATTAATGAGACGAGTTTTTTTAGTAACTACATTAAAAAGGAAAAAAATATTCAAATATTATTTAAGGCATAAGCGCTGTATTCTGATCATAACATAGGTCTATACAGATACTTTGTTCGCAATTAATACATGCATACATTTCTGCAATGCTACGTTGTTCAAGAGTGATCGTACGCATATACGTGTTTACCAGGGTGGTAAATCTACTACTGTAACTAATTCAAAACTGTCGGCAAACTACAAAATTTAATAGGGACACTACAAAGGGAAAAACTGCATTTAAGATATTATTTATGATTTACTAGAAACCGGAACCTAAAATTTTCATGAATGTTCGATTGATGATATTTATAATATAATTAGGGGTCACTTGTATAGTTTTTAATCGAATTTTTTTATTAATATCCTACTGTCATCTTGGTACATATGTACATACGTGCATCAATAATAAAATGGATCATTATTTACCGAAATTTAAAACGTTCCAAATTGTCTTATTTACCACGAGACATTACATGAATTTAGGTGTTTAAAGATATAAAGCTCACGTAACGTGACAAACCAGAACTTTTAACATCTACATGATAAAAATTTAGCATAACCACTGTGGCGTACATCTTGTTCTCATGTTGGGCGCCATAATTACACATCAATATTTGAGTGTAACGAAACATACTGATGCAGTATATTTGTGGTGGATTTAGATATGACATAACGCCACTTTTTTTTAGAAGCATAAAAATGTTATTC